GTTATAATACTCTCCCTCATCCTGGTTGAGTAGTTTGAACCAGCCGCTGACTGATCGTCTGAATATCTCACTAACGCCGAACGACAGAGCGCCCATGAAGTCATTCCGTGAGGTCCGATCCCAGTCCCAGACCTCTACAGACAAACGCCTGTCCCACTGCCTCCCACGCACTGAACTACACACAGACAGGAGGACTGAGAGAGATAACCTAGCATCCACTCAGAAAACCTTAGCAACGCCCTGGCAACAACTTCCGCATCTTATGCGTATACAAACAAAGAAACAACTCACAAGGTGAAGCTCTCGTTCCAGATAGGGTTGAGTGTAGAACGGATGGTTTTGGTTTTCTGTTTGCTCTGGCTCTTTGGATCAGGGATGAGTTTGAGCTTCACATAAGGGTCCGACAGGCCGTTAGGGTCCATGGGTATCAGGTTATATGCTTCGTGCACTAAAACATACATTACACATTGAGAACTCATTATGTGTGTTCGTACATAACCATATTGAATTATATTGCATGAATTATATTATGCAATTGAACAAACTGAATATCTCTGTGGTTGTGATGGTATGCTTTGTACAGTGAATGTGTTTTCAGCTGTATTGTTAAATTGACCTGTCAGAATGACATGCTGGTTGCCTTTAAAAGAACAGCAGTGCATTTTAAATGCTCACATTCTCTGTAGAGCATTAGTAGTCTTCTCACTACTCATTAGTCTCTCTATGGTGGTGCTGATCTAAGAGCCACAGGCGTAGTTAAGTTGACACAGTGCAGCTAATGCATTGTAATACAGCAGATTGTGTGTGTGTGTATAATTAGCTTTTTCCTCATGTACTGATGATGCTATATGCACACATTTCCCTCTTCTGGAGGAAAGCTGAGCTGTGCCATGTGGCACATAATGCATCTCCAGTGTGCTTCCTTAAACAGCAAATTCTCTCAGTGAGCAAAGGAGTAATTCTTCACTGGGGTATGAATAGGGGAATCTTAATAAACATTACTAAGCACTTTCCATGAATAGGATATAAAATAAGGTATTCATTTTATAAGAGGTTTGACATTTTTTGCAATCCTTTTACCAAAACGTGGGGCATGTATAAATTCAGTTTTAATCCTACAGATTGATTTTACATTGTAATTTTCTAGTAATAAATATTAAATAAAACATATATAATAGATATATTTGTAGATTATATTAGGCTGTCACTCAGTAGGGTTTATCTAGTTTAAGACCAAATGACAGATTATAGATGTTGATAAACCTATCTTTGTATTTATATTAAAGAAAAATATATATATATTTTTTTTTTTGCTTGCAATAACTTGAAAAACAGGGTTGAATGGTTGAGCTTGACAAAAGCAATCAAAAACATAATTTGTGCAAAACAGAAATCTTTTCTTACTAAAAGTGTAAAAAAAACTTTTCTTATTAATTCTTCCCATAATGCTCTGGAAAGGGCTAAATTATACATTATTGCATCCGTTTTGTAGCATATAATAACAAGTAAAAAGTTTCCACAAAAAAGTCATGGGACATGCAGTGTACTACTTTCATGAATGTGCTATTTGAGAAGTCTAATAGTGTTCATCAGTTTTAAACTCATGAAGTTACAGTTATATTCACCTGAAACATATATGTCTTCTTTCTCTCCACGCACGGTCAGGCGAATCCGTCCTCTTTTCTCAGTGTGGTCGTGTCCGCACAGGCTGGGGACACTGCTCTCACAGCGCTTGTGTACATTCATGTCACAACCTCTCTCACACA